CCATGGTATATTCAATATTCTTCACCAACATCATAATTCAAAGGCATCAATTCTTCTTCAGTCTTCCTTATTCATTGTCCAGCTTTCGCATGCAGATGAGGCAATTGAAAACATATGTCTTGGGTCAGGCCGAACTTAGTCCTTAAAATGGGTAGATATGGCTATTTATTCATATTTTAATTTGGCCCCTGTGTACTGGGTTGAACAGTGTACCACCAAACTTATGTCTGCTCAGAAACTGAATGTGACCTTACTTGGAAATAGGGTCTTTTCGGATGTGTTCAAGATGAAGTCACAGTGGAGTAGTGTGGTCCCTAAGTCTAATAATGACTGGTGTCCTTCTAAGAAGAAGGATCTTTGGAGACACACAGACACCCACAGAGGGAAGACAACCATGTGAATACAGTGGAAGAGACTGATGTGTCTACAGACCAAGGGTTGCCGGCAACCACCAGGGGCTAGGAGAAAGGCATGGAACCAATTCTTGCCTAGAGCCTTCCGAGAGAGCATGACACTGCTGATAGACTGATTTCAGACCTCTGCCCTCTGAACTGTGAGAGAACAAATTTCTGTTGTTTTATGCCACTTCCTTCGTGGTCCTCTGTTACAGCAGCCACCGGATACTAAGACATCCTGTCAGGAACGCAATTTCCCTGTGAAAAGAATCATTTATGATAGAATTGTTATGATGGCTTTTGAAGAGCTTAAAAAATCCTCAGGAGGATTTTTGATTTTCCGTCCCCTCAGTACTAAACATAAAATCAGACTGCGTTTGCTTTCTGGTGATCTGACCAGAAGTGAGTCAGCGGGTCCTCCGAGCAGGGAGGCATGCTGTGGCAGGGACGCATAGCTGCCTGGAGGACTCGGGGTGCGGCCACAGCACAGCACGGCTTGTAGGAAGCATGGCAGCATGAGCCCCACGCACGGCCAGGGTGTGAGGCGTTGATGAGACATCACAGACTCCATCAGATAGAGCAGCTCTGAGACCAGTAAAACGTGGGTAGGAAAGTCCAGGAGGAACCCACAGAACTGGACCCTGGAGGCAAGCACACGGCTTCCTCTTCATCACTCGTGTGGCTCTCTGCTGAGGGTGGCATATGCCCACCTCCTACTAGGTGCTGTCTGATGTTCTTGAAATCAGAAGGTGCGTCTGTGCTATGGAACAGTCCTCCGCACTCCACGTAACACGTTGCAACAGTCGTAGAACGAGGCTATGGTTTACCCACCAGAAGGCTCCTCCTGTGGGTCCACTGCCAGACTTAAATCAAGAGGTGCTGTGTCTCAGTAACGGTTGTCCTTCTCATTAAAACAAAACAAAACAAAAAATTGGGAGGGATTGAGTACCTCTAGGATGGTGTGTCTTTGTGCATGTGCTCATGTACACATGCCTGTGTACAGACATGTACTGAGCCATGGTTCTATGTGCATGTACATATGTATGTACCCATGTGTACATGCATGTCTCTGTGTGTATGGTGGCTAGGATGACTGCCTGGAGCATATATGCTGTCACTTAAATGATGCTGCACATTCCAAAGACATGTTGCATTTCCCTTTTGTTGTCTGGATACACAATTTCCACAGTAGTGTAAGGCTTTCTGACATCTCACAGATGTTGTCCTGTGTTGCATGGATGATGAGACTAACAGCTAATATGATCATACCTACAAAAGTCAGGATGTAGGACCCTTGGAAAGTACTGGCAGATGTCAGTTGAAGGGAAATTCTGAAGCATTGTGATTAACTGGGCAGATCCTTGGCTGTGTGAGGATCTAGTGTCTGCAGGAGTTTTATAGACTATCAGGTGCTGCTAATTCTAGTGAGTTCAAGGTCAAGTTTATAAAGAGTGTGTCCCCATCAGCAACACCGAGACCACAGTTATGTGCACCTTATGGCTGTTGTAAAAGGAGTGTTGTCGTCATCGGAGGCAATAATGGGGCGGCTTTTCTCATCACACTTCCTCATGTGACAAGGTCCTGCTACATGAAGCTGGCTGGCGGGCACTCTGCTTTACACCCTTACAGGTTGGGAGAATAACAATTTGATTCATTAACTGCAGTCCTTGTGCCCTGTGGTTCACACTGCCCCAGGTCTCCCCACTCCATGAGGCTAGATGTTTGTAGGCATTGCCCCAGAGTAGGGGGTTGTTCTTGCAGGAACCTCAAGATGAAGGAAGAACGGACACTCCACACTGGGAGTCAGTTAGACCAGAATAATGGAACCTGGTGGAGAATGGCATTTCCCTGAGACACTTCCACTTCTAGGACAGAACACAGATCAGTGGCTGCCAGGAGCTGGGGGTGGGTGAGGACTGACCACAAAGGGGCCTGGGAGAATCCACCAGGTTTGAGGGGAGAGTCAGGGAGTGGCTAAAGTTGACCATTGTCCCCAAAAGGCTGCCCTCAGTGGAAATCAAGTGATCTTTACAAGGAGATGTAGCTTCTCTTGGACTCGTTTTCCTCATGTGAATGGTATGAAAGGGTTAAGCTCTCACCAAGGTCTGTTTCTGTCTGAAGAGCAGCTGCTACAGATTGAATTATGCATCGCCCCCAAAAGATATGTTGACATCCTAACCTCCAGCACTTGTGAATGTGACCTTGTTTGGAAGTAGGGTCTTTGCAGGTATGATTAGTTTACATGAGGTCATACAGGAGCAGGGTGGATCCTAATCCAACCTGAGTGGCATCCTTATAAGAGATTCAGAGAGAAGAACACCAGATGAAGACAGAGAGAAACACTCAGAGGGAAGACGGCCACGTGATGAAAGAGCAAAGACTGGAGAGATGCAGCCACAAGCCAAGGAATGCCTGAAGCCAGAAGCTGGAAGAGACCAGAAGCATCTTCCCCTAGAGCCTTCAGAGAGAGCATGGACCTGCTGACACTCTGATTTCATACTTTGGCCACCAGAGCTAAGAGAGAATAAACGCCTGTTGTTTAAGCCCCCCGGTTGGTAATCTTTGTCTCCACAGTCGCAGGAGACGGAGACAGTGGCAGAGCGCACAGGCTCAGCCACTTGGACACCAGGTGGGGCTGCACACTCAGAAGCAAGAGCCGTGTGGCCCTCCAGTCTCAGTGCCACGTTTCCAGGGGCTCATGCCACCGTGAATTTATCCCCAGTTCCCTCTGTCACCAGAAACCAGGCAGCAGCTAGCCACCTGCCTTACATGGCAACATGTTGGCACAAGTGGGACTTCTTTTTGACAGCTGTGAGAAGGATGTTTCTGCCCTCATTTTCTGGAGGTCAGTCACCAAATCAGTAACATCTGGATTTTCACAACGGGGCTCTTTATCTTTTTCCCTCTTGGGGACACGGAAAGAGCAGAGCAGATGTGCTTCTGGTTTTTGTTCAGTTTTGCTTGAAGTGTAAAATCCAGTCACCTGTTTTCTGATAGCAAGTGAACCATCAGAGTTTGAATCAGGAGTTTGCACTGCAGAGATGCATGACCAAGTGGGAATGATGCCATGGCAAAGAAGGGACGGGGTTCAGCAAAATGATGGGATGGAGGTGTTTTACTGATAGAGTGAGTCACTGTCCTGTGTGAATCCTGATGGACCCAGGCCATTAGCTAAATTAGTCTAATGTTCTAGACTGAAAGTAAGCATGGCTGACTTAGCAGGGTGGACCAGTGGTCACTAAGGATCACGGCAGACTCCAGAGTCAGAGCAAGCACTGAGAACCCACATCACACCCCGTGCGGACTCAGCCACTGTCACCACGGACTTCCAGGTGCAAATCGGGGCTCACTGCATCAGTGTGGACTCTGCACTTTACCTGACTCCTCAAGTCTGTTCTGTCACTAGGGATGGTGAAGTGTGCAGTATGAAACCCCAAAGCCTTGTTCCAGCTCCACGTTCTCCAATTCTAGGACAACAGCCTACTGTTGTTGTTGTCAGGTGCTGTCGAGTCAGTTTCGACCCATAGTGACCCTTGTACAACAGAACGAAACACTGCCCAATCCTGCACCATCCTCACAATCATTGTTATGCTTGAGCCCATGGTTGTAGCCACTGAGTCAATCCATCTCATTGAGGGTCTTTCTCTTTTTAGCTGGCCCTCAGTTTTACCAAGCGTGATGTCCTTCTCCAGGGATTGTCCCCCCTGATAACATGTCCAAAGTATGTGAGACATAGCCTTGCCATCTTTGCTTCTAAGGAGCATTCTGGCTGTACTCCTTCCAAATAGATTTGTTCATTCTTCTGGCAGTCAGTGGTATATTCAATATTCTTTGCCAACACCACAATTCAAAGGCATCAATTCTTTTTTGGTCTTCCTTATTCACTGCATGCAGCCTGCTAGTCAGGAGGAAATAAGCCGTCACTGCTGTCTGCTTTTGTAGAGGGCCATGATGTTTAAGGACGCATGGCGCATGGAGGGTGGAGGCTGTCCCTGGGTCTCCTGCCCTCTTTACCAGGCTACACATCCAGGACACCAGAGGGTGGGACTGGGAGTGGCACGTCTCAGTGTGTGCTGCTCACACGTTCTGGTTTTTAGACTCTTGTGAGTGAACGTATACACACACACACACACACAATATCAAAACAAACACCAACAACTCCATCTGGCTGCTTCCCAGGCCCTTTAATTTGTAAAGTCTCAGTGAAAAAGGAACATTGAACTGATAGCTTTTCCTGGAGGGCTTGGGGGCTGGTGTCTACAAGCAGAGTCAATGCTGGGATTTGAGGAGTCCCACTGGCCTGAAAGGATCACCTCAGATATATATCAACACGAATCCCAGTAAAAAGATGGCCATTCCCCCAATTTAACAGTTAAGACCCTGTGCTTGTTGGCTCCACCACCAGGAGTGGCTGTGACGGGGGTAGGGTGCTGTGACCGGGAGGGTGCGGGGCTCCTGCGGGTAGTGACGGTGTCCACTTTCTCGCCCCTCTGCCCCTAGACGCCCCGTGGACTGTCCTGCATCACAACAGCTCCGCCGTCACGCGGGTCAAGGGCGCCAGCCCCGCGCGCCCGCACTCTGCGGCCTTCCAATACGAGGCGGGCGCGGCGCAGCTGTTGGCCACGGTGGCGCGCGCCGGGCACTGCCAGCAGGAGCTCGCCTACCACTGCCGGAGGTCGCGGCTCCGGGACGGGCCAGGTGCGTGGCGGGGCCCAGGTGGGGCGGCCCTGGGGCTCCTGGCCTCCCCGTGCCTGGGGGGTGCAGGGTGGATTGATCGAGGGACGCCCACGGGGAATGCGTGGGCAGAGTATCCGAAAACAGACTCAGGCCTCCATCTCTTGAATTGTCACCAAGAGGCTGGAGGCCCTCCTCAACCCCGGCTAGTGGAGGAACAGCGTTTGTCCCATGGGCCAGAGCAGAAGCCACTTACCTCAACAGTGCAGGTCCTCTCCCACACTCAGCCCGCCGCACGTGCTGTTCCAGGAGGTGTAGTTCCCCCTTAGAACACCTGGTCCACGTTTCGGCTCCTTCCGGGGGCCTCCTCTGAGCGCCACGCCCTCCTGATGCAGGCGCGCCCGGTTAGTCCCCTGCTTCCATCCGGCAGGCTCCGTGGACGCTTGTCGTGGGCCACTCACCCGCGGGGATGCTGCTTCCATGGGGCCCTCTCCTACCCAGGGGCCAGGGTCCTCGCTGGGTTCCTTCAGTGCAGCCCCCCCCCACCTCCCGGGGGAGGTCCTGCAAGGTCAGAGCTGCCCCCACTGACCCTGCCCCGCCCCCCACGGGGGGTGCTAACAGCCACACCGCGTGTGCTGTGGGGTGCACTGCTAGTGCTTCCTAGCGCTAACAGCTCGCCCTTGGACGCTGCAGATCATTCCTCTTTTTACCAGTTAGAGAAATCAGAAACAATTCTAAGTTAGCTTCAAATTAGAGCCACTACCCTCCAGTCACTCAGCATTTTTTCTTGCAAAGGAACAAAGTTACAGGTTGAGGAAAGTTACAGCTTCTGACTCTTGTCCTGGGCTCCCTGTGTCAGCATTAAACACTGTGTGTGTGTGTGTGTGTGTGTGTGTGTGTGTGTGTCCACAAGACTGGGGTGAGGGGCTGCCTGGCCCTGCTCCCCTTCAGCAGCGGGTAGGACCCATTCTCCTGAGCCTGTGGGATGGGCTTACTGCTGGAATGTGTCCTCCTGCTGCCCCTGACTCCCCAGGGGGCTCCTCCATTCGATTGGACTTAGCCCAGATGCGCACAGGTGACCCCGGACAGTGTGGCTCCTGCCATCTGTAACAGCTCTGCCTAGCTCAGGTTCACGGACAGAGGCCGGGGAAGCTCACAAAAAGGGGGTGTTTCTCCACGACACGGGGCTCTGGGTGGAGACTTCAACGATGGATATGACAGGTTCTGGGAAGACAAGAGTCTGTGCTAGGTCTGGTGTTGGGGTGGCAGGCAGAGTCGGGAGTGAAGTGTCAGAAGAGGAGGAGAGGCGGTCCCCTGATGGGGTCAGGATGTCCTTGGGTGACAGGATAAAGACTTTGGACCTTGTGTGAAGATTGCCAGTGCTGACGTTACCCCTCAAGATTCTGCTCAGTCTGCCTGGTCCTCACCTGAATGAGGCTCGCATACCTGCGCCAGGTGGCTGGGATGGGTGAGCCCTGCCTAGCTCTCATGATGCCCCCATGAAGGTTGCACTCAGGTAGGGAGAGTGCTCCATCCACAGGTTTCTTAAAGTTTCCGAGCCCTAGTGCCCCTGGAACAGACGGGGCTGGGGAGAGAGGGAGAGGAAAAAGCGCCTTTTGGAAGGTGAGGTCATGGAGAGGCAGGAACAGGAGAGGGAGACGGGGCTGACAAGTACAGTTCGGAATTTCAGAATTCAGAGAGCAGTCTCAGGTCTCCGATAAAGCTGTGCTGGGTGTGGCTAACGTACATTGAGGCCCAAGTGTACCTTCCCAGGCCAGGACCCTGCACCCAATTTTAGAGGGAGATTCAGGCTGTACTCAGCTCTGGAGGCCTGAGACTGTAGGCGGGCTCACAGCCAGGTGGGAGCCCGTGAGTCAGGGGAACACACCTCCGGAACCTTTGAGATTTTTCCTATTTCTTCTCTTGTTTTCTTAAGTGTTTGCTATACTTTCCCCAAATCTCTAGAATACTTAAAAAAATCACAAATAGAACCAAAGGCCCTTGATACCATTATGAACATTTGATAATTACTATTTTATTGGGAACATGAGAAATTTATATATTAAAAATACAAGTTAGAGTACAATAATTTCCTTCCTCTTCAATTTTTGAAAGCATAATGATAAAGTAATCAAAATTTTAAAGTGTTGTTATCAAAGATATTTATTAAGTATTCTAAGTACCTTTGGCCTTGAAGCAGTGAGCTTTCAACTGAATTTTAAAATTCACTTTTGGTGCTTTCCTGCGCACTGCGCTTTTCCCGGAACTGCTGGGAGTTGGTGGCAGGAGTGCCGTGGGTGTCTGCGAGTCTCAGAGAGTCTGCCATAGCAGAGGTTATGAATCTAACGTGAGTTAGGACGAAAGCCACAGAGCAGTGGCCCAAATTCCTGACCTGATGGTGACAACTTACAGGTTTAGAAGCAAATTCAGACACTGCCTGGCACCTGAGACGAGCAAATGCTACGGTGTCCCCACCTTCCTCCTGGGCCCTGGTTCTCCACTGATGGCGTTTCCACCACACGCCCCAACCTTTTAGGATGGAACTGCTTGCTTGCCTCCCCCTTTCCTGATCATCCTCTCCTAAACGTTCAGTGTGTTCCCTGCACTGGCGCTTGGAAACATCTGTCTCTCTTACTTTGCAAGATTGTAGCGTTCAGAAGGAGTCTTAAGTATCTAGGTCTCTCAGGGAAGCCTAGGAAGCGGAGGGTACGCTCCAGTCCACACAGGACTCAGGTGCAGAGGCTCAGGGACGTGAGCCAGCAGATTCAGTCAGGAAGAATACAATGTCACCATCATTGTATTACTCCACAGATGAACAGACACACTTTTCAGTACAAGAAATAAAACTTAATACCACATG